TCCGAGACCCATTTGTGCGACTCATCTCTGCATACCGAAACAAATTTGAACATATTAATGACTTCTTTTACCCAACGTATGCACGAAATATTCTTCGTCTCTATGGCAACTACTCTAATCCACCTCAAACTGCGAGGGAGGCAACTGCATTGGGTGTGCGTCCTTCATTTAAAAACTTCATTCAATATCTAGTGGATTCAAAGACTGAAGAGAGGAGCCCTTTCGACGAACACTGGAGACAGATGTACCGTTTGTGCTACCCCTGTGCCATAGAGTAGGTCGCGTTTGTTTAAAAGGAGTATTAGAAAACAAATCTGGAATGAAACAATTTAAACTGTTTGCAAATTCTTCTTTTACATTTTTCAGTGTCAAGTGATCATATTATTGCTGGTTTATTTCAGGTTTGATTTTATTGGACATCAGGAGACACTGCAGGAAGATGCTGAACATCTGCTGAGGATCTTAAAACTGCAGAAGGACATCAGGTTCCCACATTCCTATGTAAACATGACTTCACCTGACTCAGTTGAAAACTGGTTCGGAACAGTGTCTCTAGAGGACAGGAAGACACTTTACAAGATCTACGAGACAGACTTCAAACTTTTTGGCTACAAAAAGCCAGAAGAACTTTTACGTAATTGAGATGAACAACGAACCATTTCTTAACTTCACGCTACAATTTTATGTTGTATTTACAGAGGTCTCATTTTTCCATTTTTAAAATCAATTTGAGAGAAAAATTGTTTTATTAATTTAATTATAACACACTGTAACTGGTTACAATGAAATTATTATAATTCATTTCAAACAATGTCATTTTTCAACATTTAAATATAGTGCATAAAATCTACAAGAGTAATTTCTTGGGGAAAATGACATCAGAATCATTCTGTCAAGATGCAGTATGACATTACAAACTTTAACCTGCTGATGGTAAAATGTATTGTTTTGAAGAAAGCCTTCAAACTGACACTGTTGTCACCTTAAGACACCTTAAGACTAAATATCAATAAAACTAGCCATACCATGAATTACTGTAAAATAGCATTAAAATGAACCTGTCTCAATACAGCAGTTAACAGGGGCAGCTGAAGAGAGAGAAAGCAGGAGGCTTTTGTCCAGGATATTTAAAATAGAAATTCAAACAACCTGGATCAACAATGTTGATCAAACTGCAGTCAGCAGACAATATTGTTGGGCATGTTATTGAAATACACTTTGTAAATACCGTGTTTGTGTCTACTGTGTCCCTGCTGTTACTGTTACTACAACGTATCTTTCTTGCTGCTGCACCCACTGAATTTCCCCGGTGTGGTAAAAATAAAGTCTTTTAAGTTTTATCTTAATATCTGGATAGGCACATTTTTAATACAAGAAAGAATATTTGAATTAAGTATTGGTATGGGTAGATTCAGAGAATATACAGTTCTGTCTGATTAGTACAATTTCTTTCTTCAAGATCACTATAAAATGCACAGTAAATAATTGACAGAAAATTCCAATTCTTTGAACTTGGACCCTTTATTGGTCTCTCTAAACAAACAAACAAACAAACAAAAAAAATTGAAATATAATTTTCCATATATAAGTTTCAATTTGTATCATATTTGATACATCGGGTCACAATGGTCAAATATTCTTTTTTTCTGAACAAACAAAAACATAATAAAACACAAACAAATCTAACAAATTTGTAATTCCAAATATAAAAAGTGCCACATAATGCAGTAATGAGAAATCCACAAATGAAACTGGCTGGGTGGATGTCTGGAAAACAAAGTGTCACTTCTGTTTAAAAAAATATGATCTTACTCTACGAGGCAGGGATTACACAAGCGGTGCATCTGTCTCCAGTGTGTATCAAATGGCTTTTGCTTCTCTGTTCGTGGATCCACCAAGTACTGAATGAAATTTTCAAAGGATGGAACCAATCCCTGTGCGTTTCCCTCTTCAACTGTCTCTGGTGGATTTGTGTGGTTAGCATAGAGACTAGAATATCCCGTACAAATGTGGTATAAAAATAGGAATCCCGGTGCCTAATTTTGTCAACGTAGGCAGAAATGATTCGTACAAATGGATGACGGACAAACATGAACTTGGTGTAGTGCTTCAGTTTTGCCTGTAATCAACAAAAAGAACACATGAAAGCTGAGTCACTGTCAAAGATATACAATGCATGTGACCCTTTTACACATACTGACCTCGATTTTAGAACTTGAATGTAGTGCCAGATGAGTTAGGTTTCCAAGTAAGTGAATATCTCCTTGTATTTCCCTAGGGTCACTGTAGGGTTCACCATGTTTTAGTACAAACATGAATTTCTTCAGGTTCGTACATGCTGCCTGTAGAAGTAAATAAGTGTCATTTTGCAAAATATAAAATAAAATAAAAAATGAAATCAGAGGTTTCAAACTCCTGGCCTACATACACCAACTAGGGGGTAACAATAATTTAAATTTACCCTTGAAGATCCAACAGCAATGGTAACCAAGTAGAGAAGCCACACATTTTTTCTGGTGACAGTGCATCACAAACAGGATATGTATAAGTGGAACAGGACTTTCTTTGGTCCTATTGTGTCTCTGATTCAATATTGACTGCTGCATTACGCTGTAAGGTCTTGTTTGTTTCTGTGCGCACATCAAACAGCAACTCCTTCTAATAGTAGTATAACAGGACTAACCCTCAGATAAAGATGTCCATGTGATGTTCTGTTCGGCCACTGTTTGATATTACAACATATAGTGTATTTGCAGAAAGAAGACTTTAAGATTAAGGAAGAAACATATTGATGCGGCACTTGGGAATTGAACACTACAGAGAAGAAACGAAAGAAGTGTGGGGATTGTGTGCAGTGGCACTCCCCATTGGCTGCCACGTTGTACTGAATTCTGGAAGGACAAGTGGCAGGACAGTAATTCAGCAGTTTGTAGAGATCACTTAGGACAAATGATGAAGATGTTTTAAAAAAGCTGAGAACACTTTTAAATGATATTCGTTAAGCTCCTCACACTTGGTGTGGTGTCTCACCACAATGCTGCAGCATGGCAGTCCCATCACAGGAGGGCGCTAGCTAGCCTAGCTTGTCTTACGCATGAGTGGACACACTAGGACATACAGGTCAAACTCAAGGCCCGGGGGCTAAATGTGGCCCGCCAAGCCCTTTTGTGTGGCCCGCGGGAGCTTAAATAGCATTTAGTAAAGTCCATGCAGCAGAGTTTCATAACCTGAGAACTCTTTTAGACTCTATTCTGTTTGTGTCTGAATGACTGACATATTATTTTAAAATATTGTCAGATTATCTTTAAATAAAGAAAGTAAATGGATATGACAGGATTAGTTTGAATGAAGTAAATTATTAAAAATTAAGCACATTTTTTCAATGTGTCCCACTGTTGCACGGTACCAAATGACCTATGGACTGGTACTGGTCCGCGGACAGGGGTTGGAGACCACTGATCTATGCAATCTTCCAGTTACAACTGGCCCTTTAAGGGGAACTGAATTGATGATGTGGCCCCCGGTGAAAATGAGTTTGACACTCCTCCACTAGGAGGACGGAATGAAACAACAACATCCCCACATCCTGTAGCATTCACCAACCTCCAAACATGACGTTAAGGTTTTAACCAGAATCGGACAAAGTTAGGCACCATCATACTGGGTCTGCATTCCCACCAGCAAAGAATGGCACTAGAATGGTTCCCAAAAGTCCATGCTCAACAGTGCCACCGTGGAGTCAATATTGACTGATACATATGTGATGTTCTGTTCTGTTGGTGGTCATGGAGACCACCATGAAATAAGATGCATTATTATTATTATTATTAGGTCTACTATAGCAAAAATAACAGAAAAGTACAAAAACAACTACAAAAGCAGAGAAATTGTGCAGCGCTGCTACAATTTTCGACCAATCAGGAAGTGCCATGCTGAATCTTGTAGCTGTAAAAATGGGACTGTCAATCTCAATCTTTTTGGCCACAGACCAAACCAGGTCTCCTCAAAGGCGTAGAAGAAATCCCCACATCAGCTTTTGAGTCTTACCCTTTAAGTTACGTGACCGTACTTCAATTTTTGACGTTTGATTTTTTTAAAATGATGTTGCAGTACTGGTCAAAGAAGACGTCATTACACTCATCATATTTCCCATATGTTAAGAAACATGTTTGTCAACAATTGCCTTCAGTTTTTTCCACAAACCTAAAAACCTGCATTTTTTTAAAGACGCAAACCAGGAGGGATCTAATGACGGTTATGATGTATTATACAAAGAGAATGAGGAATGTAGATTTGTTTCCTTAATTTAAATGGAAACCCTTAGTTTATGGATATTTTCAGGCTTTATTATAAAACATTTCAAAACAATGGGGCAATTTTATGTTAAAGATCACATTCACAAAACAATGTCATGGTTGCTGCGGTCCTGGCCATGTCTGACGAATTTTCTTCTTTTTTTTTTTTTGAGATTGACTTCTGCCATCTGCCCGACTATTGGTAAATGTTGACAGTTTCACACTGACACTAAACATATGAATAATATGAACTCCCTGTTGTCTCTATGGCAGTTTAAGCAGAAGCAGCTAAATATCCCACTTTGGTGCATCATCTTCTCCGGACAACACTTGGAAAATGTATGCCACCAGAGAAACAGGTCCACACAGTGTTGAAAGACAGAAGGTGCATTTTTCTTTTGCAGTGCCATTTGGCGAAAAGAACATCAAAATGACATGACAAACATGGCTTTTGTTCACATGTGGATATTTCATTCTTTGTGACCTAACCCAATGCCGGGCTTACTGTCATGCCTGCAGGTCGACGTCAGATTAGTTGTATGTCCATGTTTATTTACATATTAATAATTTATTTCCCTGTAAGAAGTCTTTCAGGGTTCTCACATAAGAAGTCTGTCACATCATTCACGCCCTGGTGAAAGCATCCCTCAGAAGTGATCTGATTGTATGTCAAAGTATTTGAACATTTGCATTTCTCAGGTCTGATCACAAAAACGTCATCTGTTGATTAAAGGGTTGGAAGATATCGGTAGTACATGTCCTGACCTCTGCTCAGCCGCTCCTTTTGAGATTAACTATGCCCAGTGTCATATGTTTTTTAATTTAAAGTTTCAGACATTAAACCAGTCTGTATTAAAAAAACAGCAGATTGGCCCACACGTATTCTCCTTCCATGTAGTCACAGGTGATGCAGCCAGAATGACCATCAGGCTTCAGAGCAATCAGAGCAGATTTCAATTCGATCAGGTCAGATCTCCATAATGCAGACCGACTCCTGTGCTATCAGACACATTATGTCTCTCGACATATTCTTCTTCCAACTCTATTGTCTGTAGTCATACCACAGTTTCTGTTAGAGGCTTTTGGCAAAAACCTATTTGCTTTTCTCTTAGCTTTCCTTCCAGTACTTTGAGCGTTGACATTGTGTGGTTGGTCTTTTGAAAGGATGCAGAAGAGTGCCTTGAATTGTGTATTTGGTGCACCTTGTCACATTGAACTTTCTTCACACCTAGCCAGTGGTGCTGATGAGTTAAACATAGGATTGCTGGCTAGTTCCTCCTCTAGCCCTTGTATTCCCTCCCCCAGTCTGTCACCCAGTTCATCATCCACTTCATCCCCTTCCTTTAATTCCTTCGAAACCCCATCAAGCCTTAGCTTCTCTAGTTCCTCTGTCCGTCCATCCAGCGCATCTGTTACTAATAGTTCGAAAGGACACTTTTGGCTATTACTGCTTTTGTTGCAGTTGGTATACGCAGCGTTTCCGTGGCCATTGCTGCCATTGTTGTAGACCACTGTGCCACTGTAACTATTCCCATGATGCCCACCATTACCCTGGTTGCTCATCAGAGTATTGGCCGGGGTCATGTGGGCCGTGCCGTTCCTCTTATCTATCAGCTGGAATCCTTCAGACAAAAGGCTGCTACTGCTTGGAGACTGTGGAGTGGCTGAGGAGTTGAGTAGGCCCCTCCCCTTTCCTGATGACAGCGAGTTATCTGGAAGCTGGTGAGCTTTGGGAGCAGTGCTACGCCGCCGGGTCAAGAAATGCAAGGTAAATGCACCGAACACTATACCGGAGCAGAAGAACAGAATGTAGATGGCAAGAACGTGACGAGTTCCAGCAGTTGCTATTGATCCAAGAGTAGAGCTTCCTGATGTCAACTGATAGGCTGCTCTGCGGCATGGGGATGGGTCTCTTGCCCCAGGTAGTACCTCCTGAAACAGAGAAAGCCAACATCAGAATCCAAATCCAATCCGATTTTATGTGCAAGGCAAAAAAAAAAAAAAGGGAAACAGCAGAAGAGCTGATATCAGCAAAGGTAAAGGAACATAGAGTCTTGGGTCTTGGGTGAGACTTGGGTCCAGGTTTCAGGTTCGAGTCCACCAGCTGCCAAGTTACCACTGAGGTGCTCTGAGCATGGCACTGTCCCCACACACTGCTGCCCCTGGGGCTTAAAGCTGCCCACTGTTCACTTTGGTGTGTGCAGTGGTGTGCTGTGTCACAATGGCCAGTAGTTCACTTTGACACTTTCCTTTCCTTTAAAGGTAACTCTGTTAGGCCAATATTTCCTTGCCTTTGAGTTCCTGTTATCAATCAGGTAGACTATTTTTTTTACATGTAAACGAGAGAGGGTAGTATGGTCAATTCCAAATGCACGAGGCATTTAGTTAATCTAGTCGTACAGTGACCTGAACAGAACAGGCTTTAATTAGGCCATCTGTCTTAGCTGATTGAAGCTCTTCGCATGGGAAAAAGTTATTTGGGTTTTAATCATTTTTAACTGTGGATCTATAAAAACACCTAGGTTTACAACTGACTGTTTTAAAAAAGTGCCGAGAAAGCAAAGTCAATGCTCTTTTGCAGGGGAGCAGATTTATGTTCATGCTGGTGGGTGCTCAGTAATCTCTGTGGTTGCTTGGTGATCAGCGCCTATGCTCTATGGGCACCGGATAAAAAACACTTCTACCACTAGGAATACAGAGAGTTCTTCTTTCTAGTTATTTAGTTATTAAAAAAAAGTTTTATTTATATCCTGGGACAAAATCAATTTGGCAATATTAAATGTTATTTTGTCAATAACAAACCTGGCATATGCAAACGTATTCTCCCAGGCTCTCCTCTGTCACTGTCACCTCCAGGTCAGAGTGATGTTGCTTGGTGTATCTGTGGGGGGGGTGCTCCCAGCTACAGGACCTTGGGGACAACTGGACACAGGGCAGCAGGAGACGTAAACCCATGGAAACTTGCAGTTCTCTAGTGATAGGAGAGCAACGCCCTGGAAAGATTTGGCATAAAAAGATGCAGAAAACATTAGAAGAGTACAAAAAAAAGAGAACACAATATGTACTAAATACAAATGAACCACATATATATATAGCACTATATGAAACAAATTCATGTTTGAGTGTAAGTTTGGAGATGATACCCTACCCTCCTTTATATCACATGTCCTCAATGCTTGCTCTATTGTATCATCTGGGCCAGGCCTAAAAAACAAACACAAATTCCATTACAAATTTTCATGAGACAATATTTCAACTACAGAAAGACTGGTGCCATACACTTCTTTGCTTCAACATGAATCAACAGTATTAACATGTCATTCAATCAGCTTAATTCATGTAAAGCCTTTTTAGGGTGACACTACATTTGGTGTTCAATGAACCTAATCCTGAATGTTTTGGGACTGTGGAATGTATCTGGAGAAAAGCCATGCAATGGTGAAAAACATGCAGTCTTGGAATGCACAGCATTTCACCCCTTCTACTCACCTTGTTCCTGTGGTCCTGCATGCATTTTCCTTTCTGCTCCACTCACAACCCAGTCGTCTGGCTCTGGCACATAACTCACAGGTCGGGTACAGAGAGCAGCCCTCAGCCCGGACACGAGCCAAAGACAGAGGGCTGCCAACCAGTGCCTCACCCTGGAAATATGATAAAACCTTTACAACAGTGCAATGCATGCATAGAACTATACTGTACGACATGTGCGTGTTGTACCTTGTGTAGTAATATATTATTGACAGGCTCTTGTGAGGGGAAAAGTGGAATCTCCTGCAGTATTGTTGCATTTTGACCCACTACCTCCACCTGGTGGAGCTCCCCACGGCCTGCAACACAACAGAAACAAAACTTTCTATTTTATATGATTTATTTATACACTGCATATTTAACTATATATATATATATATATATATATATATATATATATATATATATCTATTTATTGAAAGAGAGATCATGTGGTGCT